AAGAAATATTCACTAAATATATTTCTAGAAAAATATAAATATAAATAAACAGGTATCTTAAATAATTTTAAGTCAGCATAAAATGCTTTTAGTATATGTCAAAAAATTAAAACCAAAAATATTTAATGCCAATCTCTTCCATACTATTAGATAAGGTTTCTAGATATCTACTTTTGACTTTCAGTATGATTTTTTGGCAAATTACATCTGTTTCCAAGTTATTTTTATATTCTAATATAGGATCTCCAACCTCTTTAATTTCTGAAAGTTTACAACTGAGATTGTAATGTTTCGAAAGTATTACTTTAAATATGTTTATCATATTTATAGAATGTTTTGATGAACAAAATATTAATGAAGCTTTCATTTTAAAGGCATAATTATGAGCCTATGAAAAAAACAGTAAATATATATATTTTTAAAAAAACTATACATAATAACAATTTAAATATGAATCATCTTATTTGTAATATCATACTGAATTTTCTTTTCAAATTTTTTAAATATATCATATTTTGTCCTAATAAGAAAATAGATCGCATTCTGTTGATTTGAGTTGAAAATAAATAAACACTCATTTTGTGTTGATATCACATTTTACATACTTTATTTAAATGTTTTGTTTGTTTATACCATTTTTTAATACTGCATAATGTGGATATTTGTGATAAATCAAACATAAAAAGAATAGCAACAGAATTATTACAAACAAAAAAAATAAATTCAGGGTGACCTATTTTGTATAATAAAAAAAATAATCAATGAATCAAAATCCTGACAAACAAAATTCTGAAAAAAAATGTTAGCTTTACCAAAATTCCATATACTGAATCTAAATTTGTATTCTCTCAATGTAATAGATCTTTTTTTAAAGTGAACACCTTCAGAAATATTAATAGTAAAGAGTTAATTTTAAAGTTATTTAAAAATGAATAAAAAAACTTTGAGTCATTACTATTGGTTTGGTCATAAAATACATCAAAATCACCTTCAGTAAATTTACACATCAAACTAGTTTTACCGATTTTAGGATCACCAACTATCTCAACCTTAATCACAACCCTATTTTAAAGGATTGATTACATAAGTAAGTAATAAATAAATATTAATTAAAAAATTATATACTCAACATACTCATTTCTCTCACTAGTATTACTAGGCATTTTTAACTGGCGAAGTTAAACAAATTTTGAAAATTTGGTAAATATATAATAGTGAAAAACTGCTACGGTCAATTTTTGGAATTGATTCTGTACCGGGATCTGATTTTGTGATATTACAAAACAAACATATTCAAAATAGATAAAATATGCACTTGGCAAATAATATTTCATTTTTAATTGACTATTCTAAAAATCAAAATATTTACTAATTATTTATAACAAAACAAAATTACTGTAAACTACTAGTCTTTGAATATGTAAAGTTATAACATAGAAAAATCCAAATGATAAGACAAAGATCAATTTATTTCTTAAAACATTGGCTTGAAGGCGGGCGTTGATAAAGAAATTCAACATATAGAATTTTATTAATTTTACAATTCAAAAATTAAATTCCTTGATCACTGATAAGAATATTAAATAAAACGAATTTATCATCATACTTAGTAATTGACTTCATTTTTAAATTTATAGATTGATTATATTTTCTTTAATATAAACTAATTTTTTAAAAACATAAGTTATATTAATTTTTTATTTGGTGATAATTTTTAATTTCTGGTTCTGAAATTATAGTCCTTATGATTAATTATATGATGCCTAAAATAATAAAACAATATGCAAAGTCTCTAAATCAATATGTCTTTTTAAGATGATTAGATTTAACAATTTTTGATTGTATTGGCAAGAATATTTTCTTTGTTGTTTACACCCTAGGATCTAATAATAGTAGATAAGTGTGAATGAATAATTTAAGAAATAGAAAACCATATTAAAGAATGTTTACTAAACGCATGCAATTTATAATAGAATAGTCAGCTACTGTAAAAATTTATCGTGCAAGGTTTAAAAATATTTCAGCAAATAGAATAATTTAAACTAGAGATGCTGAACTAAAATGAATCATATAAACATTAGTGAGTATATTTTAAACAAAAAGACTGATCATGAAAATATTAGGAATTGATAGTTTTATCTTTGTTTAGTGTCTTCCTCTTCCACAAACATATCAATTATCTTTATGGTAAAAAATGCAAACATTTAAGTTATATTCTATTGTGATTTTATTTAAGTAATAATTTTTAAAACTTTTTTTTGGTCTAAACAGATGTCGATTTCTCAGTTATTTTGTTTAACATTAAGGTTTTTAATATTGATACCTTAAATTGGTATTGATATACCAATACTGGGTGATATTATAAAGTTCCAAGCTATATCGATATCGATATTAGTGATTATCCCCATTCTGACTAATTTTGGCCAATCTGTGAACATTTATTTTAGGATAAGTGTTTGTTTTAAGGAGGTCTCTCATTAATTATTTAAAAATTCATGAGGGACCTCCTTAAAACAAACACTTATCCTAAGGGTCTTTCCACAGCAAAATCGGGGCTTAGAGACGAACTAACGGAAATCGAGATTTTTATTGGATTGTATTCACAAGCGTGTAATTTATTCGTAGTAAAAATTTAAGATTAAAGAAACTGATGAATTAATTTATATATTAGTAATAGCTTCTTTTTTTGACCTGTTAGG